TGCAACAGGACATGACATACAGGCCAGTCCAAATAATTTTTTGCCACTGTAAATTCGTTTTCAATATACTAATATTCTTAGGCCTATCGGAACTTTCAGTGACTTGTAGCTTCAGATTCTGTGTAAAGATGTAATGCTGCATAAAAGTAGTAGGGCCTATACTAAAATATGGCAGTTCTGACCCACCAGAAGCTTTGCATCTCTGTAAAGGAAATGGCACATAATTGTAATTATTTAAATTATTTACAATTTCATATATTCACTAATTTCATGTTTCTATATTTATAATTTTCAATAAATTTCATAAATTTCATAACATTATGAAACATCTTTACTTTTACTTTACTTTTACTTTTAGTCATTTAGCAGACGCTTTTTATCCAAAGTGACTTACAAATAAGAAAAAGTAAAATAAATTAAATAAAAATGACAAATTACAACATTTCAAAACTAAACATTTAAATGAAAACAAAAAAATAAAGCTAAAAACAATTCAAAATATTAAAAGAACAAAAGGTATGAGTATAATAATGATTCTAACATAACACTAAGCCAAACACCAAAAAACAACTTCATATGTATTCACATCTCCAGCAGTATAATTCCTGCATAAATGTATGCTGCCTCTGTGCAGCATTAAACAATCTATGCACCTTTTTAAAATACATTAGTGTTCTCAAATGGATTAATCGTGATTAATCGCATCCAAAATAAAAGTTTGTTTACACAATATATGTGTATGTACTGTGAATATTTATATGTATATATAAATACACACACATACATGTATATTTATGAAATAACCATATTTATGTATGATTTATATATAAATAAATTACATGTATTTCTTAAATATATATGTATGAGTGTGTATTTATATATGTAAATATATTATATATAAAAATAAATATATGTAATATATATTTATATATATAAATCATACATAATTATGGTTATTTCATAAATACAGTATACATGTATGTGTGTGTGTGTATATATATATACACATATTATTTAATTTTTTTATTAATCCATTTGACCGCACTAAAATATATACACAAAACTTAAAATGCAGCTTCTGTGCAAATGGTAATGCAAAAATGTGAATTATTTCAATTCACAAAATAAATGTAAATATATAATTTATGTAGACAGTGAGGTAGGTGTTGTTATGCAAATGAAAAGAAAACTGTTTAAGAAAACTGATAGGCAGCATAAAATGCCTTTCACTCCCTTGAATGAGTATATGCTGAATAGCTTACAAATCACTCTTTATAGTATATATCAATCACACATTAGTAAAGCATTAGTAGCCCATAAGAACTCTAATAAAGCTGATCATATTAGTTGACAGTGAGACAACTAAAATGTATTCTGTATTTAATTTACCAAGTTTCAGTATTTAAACAGTACCCTGCTTTAATATTCATGCAAATATTTTATTTGTTAAAGCATTCTAACAGTAGTTTCAGATTTCCAGTATCATAGTTGAGGTAGCTGACATTATATTTTTACAATACCACTTCATGATAACCTTGCGGGAGCTTATGTATTCTATATAGTGCAAAAATACACTGTCAAAAACAACAATGCACATGTTAAAAAAACAGTAGAATTCACATTTCAACATATTTTCAATTGATTTTATTATTAGACAACTAAAAAACATAACCCTTTCAGTAACCAAAAAATAAAAAGCATGACCTATAATTGATCTGTTTAAATTAATCTATCAGCATGAAAAACAAACTCAAATTATGTATTTTGTTTGAAATTTCACAAATTTTACTCCACTTGATAGTGGTAGGCAAACTAGTTTGTAAAAAGAAAGTTTGCCAATGCAAACAGAGATGACTGAAGAGCTTCTTCCTGGGCTTTAGCAGTCACCATATATTTTCACCTACCTGTGCAATTGTATGAACAGTACACAGTATTGTAAATAGTAAGAGTGTACTATGAATATAACATTAATGCATTTTCGCCCAAATTAAAACTACATTAGAATAGTAATAAACAGGCAGCTTTACATTTGTTGAAGGATATGTGGCTTCGCTCTTGGCATTCACCGCGTGCCTTAATTGAAATACATTAAATCAAGGTCCACTGTGAACACGTACAGCGAGAGCCTAAAGTGCAAAGAGAGATTCTGCTGGGCCTGATGAAAATCTGAATCATAGATTTAGGATGTACATCATCACTTGATAGTCTATGCACCGCAGGCCAGACAAATCGTATTCTGCCAACAGGTGTATTTATTCAAAAGCCTTACTTAAGGCCTATTTAGATGAATCTCATCCTGGTTAAATAACGCTGAATGTTTCCTTATCCGGTGAGCCATACTGGAAGCCTATGTTTTGACGGACAAAGCACACAGCCAAGGGTATAGTGCATTCAGAATGCCTGCACATCCAATGCATCAAATGTAGCCTTCCATCCCTGTAACCTATAAAACATCAAAATCATAACAGTTTAACCATGATGGCAGCCAGGCCTATTAGACATGCAATACACAGAATAACGTCGAACACTGGACAACACACGCAAATACATCCCCAAATATGCCTCATATATAACATTAAAAGAAAAACGAATTATTGATCCCAATATCCGCTAAATAAATCGTTCCAGAATACGCAGAACATTCATATGGTTCTTATTAAATCCCTCTGCAGTCGGCGGCCAGCATCCGCATTAATACCCTGCATCATCACTGCATCATCCCACAAGGGTGGATGAGACTTATTTATTATCTACGTTTATTTTACGATTTAGGAGTTCATGTACGTACCTCCGTGAAGCCATGCAAACCTGTTCGTATCGCTGCTTAATATTAAAGCGGACTTTCAAATAAATGTCGAACCAACGACATATAAATATAGAAACTGCGCCGAACGCTACATTGCAAGGGAGCCGCGTGACGTCACCATGCAGACAGATGTTCAGTCCCTGCGTCCTTGAGTGTTGCTATAGGCTATGTTAGCCAACAAACGATTGATTGATTGATTGGTTGGTTGATTGATTGATTATAAGCCTTAAATTACAATAATGGTAGGCCAATAGCTAGTAGGCCTATGTGAAAGGAAAAAATGAAATCGCATCATATGACCCCTTTAAATGTATTTTAAAAAGTAGCTATTCGGACATTACAAGTTATTAAATTTAAAATAGCTAGCCTACATTTTGCTATGATTAGACTGTTGACAGTCACAGTAATGTTGTCATAGACTTTAGCACAAATACAAAAAAGTGCAGTGATATAATATTTATATATATTTAATTTTATTATATTGTGGGTTTGTATGTTGGTTCAGTTCAAACACCTAATACAAAGCCATCTTGTGAATGTCCTCCAAACTGAAACAATATATATTTTTGTAAATAGCTGTTGTTGTGTACAGTAAATAAGTAAAGGTAATAAAACCACACTGACACACATTCAGGCATATAATGAAGGTAGATTCCAGATTTCAGGCTGAAATTTTAATAAAATTGAGGCAAGTTGTAGGTTAATATGTCAAATTGATTATAAAATTAATTCAATTAGAGGAGAGTGAGGATGGATTGCAACACTTTTTGCATTTCGTTCAGTTTATCAGAAACTGTTTTGGAAAGCCTGCTGTAACATGTACATATGATAATATATGTTCAGTTTATACTTGAATAGACAAAGTCAAATGTTGCAACTGACCCCAAGGGACTTAATTCTTTAACGTAATTTTGCCATTTTATTTGTGCACAACAGGGTCTTCACTAAGTTATAGAAATATATAATGAAATAAATACAAAGACTACTAAGAAAAAAAATATTTTCCACAAGTAACAGCCATGTAAAAATGACAATGAAATTTAATAATACTTCTTAAGAACTAGTTTGACTAACGATCAGTCTTACTTTTCAGATTCAAATTAGACTAATCTACCTTTTTATGCAACTGACTTTACAAATGACTTGTCTTGAAAAAAAACCCATTACTAACTCTAAGACCAGTCTAAGCAGTTTAGAGAGAGGGTAAGAAAGAAGAGACAGGGTAAGAGGGTAAAGAAGGAAGGACTGATTTAAAAAATGTATTTACTTAAATTAAAAAGGCGAAATAACCTGACTATTGAAAGGGTTTCTTTATTAATACATAAAATTTAAATTTTGCAATGTTATGGCAAGCTTTTACATCAATGTTGTGATAAGGGAGAGCATGAAGGTTGCAACACACTGACAGCCATAATAAACTAGCTGGACACTATGCCTGTTAAAAGCTAGGAAAACACTTATTAAAATGACAATGATTTACAATGCTTCAACAAACAATTTAGACTCTATTCATATTTTTTTAACCTTGAAAAGTTTTTTTAAAATGTATTATTATTATTATTATTTTTTTTTTTAAATGGTCACATGTAGCTGCTTTCTTCCAGGAAGGATGATGGGCTAGTGCAGTATGAATATCATTACTGTAGCTCATGTTTGAAGGCTGATTGCCATGTTGCCACTGTCTCTTGATGCAACCATCCCCACTCTCTCCTATTTGTTTGCCAAAACAATAGTAATATATTTTTATTGTTTACTATATACGTTGTCTTTTACATTTTAGGTTTACTTTAATAAATTTTTTTGTATTTTGCTGTAACAGAGACGAAAATATGCTACCTACCGTGACAACATGCCCCACTATTGTGTTCAAACATGATTTACTAAATAATAGCGTTAGAAATGGACAGCAAGATGATTAATTCATTGAACATTCTGGTTTGCTCTTTTCTTAAACATCTGGAGGAATTACGTAGGCTGTTATAGGCTATCTTTGTTAGGAATTTATCTCCGTTTTGAATAATGGGTGTCTGTTTAAATTGGCGAGAGACGATTTAGTCTACAAAGTTTTCTAGGTTAATGTTTGACGAAGTTTGACCTGTACAAAGGTGAAAAAACATTAGGCGATAGTTGTCACTGGGATGCGAGGGGCTCATTCCCTGCCCCCCTTTTACGTAATAGGCTACCTCTGCTCAGAGACCATGATGACATTCGATCGACTCGCGCAGATATGAAGTCTGAAGAAGTTGACAACATCGAAGAATTAAACAATTTGCCTGTTGATTCTATTCGGATTGCACCGTATTTGTCTGAACTGAAACAAAAAGCAGCAGCAGAAGTAAGCATTCGACACTTGAATTTGACGGAATCTTTTTTGATACGGTTTCTGCAGGCGAGAGACTTTGATGTGGCACTGGCGCTCAAGGTTTGTAGCACTAATGTTAAACGATGACTGAACTCAACTGATATTAACTTGTAAACCAATCCACGTGCTTTCTGTAGTGATAGTGATACCGTTGGTGATACGTGATTTGATTAGCAATAATATGGCCACAGGCCCACTGACACACTTCACACAGTGTATGAATCTAACAGCTAATTTCCGAATTACTTTATTAATTTATGCGAATGAACTGTGTTATAGGCTATTTAATTAAGGACTTAAAAATCATTATAGCCTAATTATTGAAGTTTTCCTGCCTCTTTATTTAATGTAAATACATGTAGCCTACATTTCTGGCTCACCAGCATGTTTTTTTTCTATTAGGTCTAGATTTTTAGATATATTTCAGCCATACTAACAGTAGCGATTGGATTTACAATAATGAATCTACACATTTTCTTGCTGACATTGCATTCAGAAGTCAACCCAACCATAATCAATGTAATAAGCAATGTTTCTTTTAATTATGTGTTATTAAGATTATGTCCCAATAATATTCTTAAGTTAGAAAACTTAGCTGAGACTAACATATGATCTTGTTTTTTTTTTAATCCTCAGCTTTTGATTAACTATCACAAATGGAGACAAGAATGTCCAGAAATAACAGCCGATCTGAGGCCATCATCCATCATAGAACTTCTACAAAACAATTACCATGGAGTTTTGAGATCACGAGATGATGCTGGAAGTCGAGTTCTAATCTATCGGATTGGCAAGTACATACATAAACAATTTTTTAAACCTTCTTTTGTTCATTGTAATGGAGAATATCACAAAAATTCAATTGTTTTAGGTCAGTGGAACCCCAAAGAATTCACAGCTTATGAGGTTTTCCGTGTGAGCCTCATTACATCAGAGTTGATTGTTCGAGAATGGGAGACTCAAAGAAATGGACTCAAAACTATTTTTGATCTCCAAGACTGGTGCTTCGCACATGCCCTGCAGATAAACCCTTCCTTGGCAAAAAATATATCTTCTGTGCTTACAGTAGGTATCCATTAAAATATTTTCATGAACAATTAAGAAGACATCACTTATTCAGATTTCTGTAGAAGATCTGACTTTAACATCTCTCTGGAAATACTTGCTTATCAATGTCGTGTTTTTTTGTAGATTTTCTTTTTCTTATAGCAACCTTTTAGTATTACAAAAAAACATTAATACAGTATTGATTAATTTAAAATGCATCGAACAAAACATCAAATCTGTTTTGCAGGACTCATTTCCTTTGAAAGTACGTGGCATCCATTTGATAAATGAGCCTATTTTTTTCCATCCCGTCTTTGCTATGATCCGTCCATTTCTTCCAGACAAAATCAAACAACGGGTTAGTCACATTTAAGTACTTACATGTGGGATTTTAAGGTGATTCACTTTAAAAGATTTAATATATGTGGTGTGTTTTTATTTATAGATTCATATGCATGGGAGTTCATATGCCCGAAGTCTCAGCAATTTCTTTCCAAAGGCTATCCTCCCTCCTGAGTATGGAGGAACCGGACCCAGCATAAATGAAGTGTGCCATGATTGGACTGAGTACATCATGCAGTCTGAAGACTATCTCCATAGGCTCTCTATAGATTTGGATGGAGGAGATGCTTCTCAGTCATCTGCCTATGAGTGATTACAATGAAGGTATTTCTCACCATGTGCTCTTTGTGCTAGGTGACGTAACAAATTCTGCTGGGCAATAGTGAATTGGTGGGTTTTTGTTAAATGTGAGCCAAAATCATCACAATTAAAAGAACCAAAGACTTAAACTACTTCAGTCTGTGTGCATTGAATTAATTTAATACACGAGTTTCACAATTTGAGTTGAATTACTGAAATAAATGAACTTTTCCACGACATTCTAATTTATTGAGATGCACCTGTACTTTCTTTGAAAATCAGGATAATATTGCTGACTTAAAGGAGATATATTATGCCCCTTTTTACAACATGTAATATAAGCCTTTGGTATCCCCAGAATGTGTCTGTGAAGTTTCAGCACAAAATACTCCACAGATCATTTATTATATCATTTTGAAAATGCCTATTTTGAGTGGAAGCAGAAACACGCTGTTTTTTTCAGGCCTGTGTCTTTAAATGCAAATGAGCTGCTGCTCCCCGCGCTGGGAAATAAATTGCATGTTTATTTTAGATCTGTGTGGCAGCAGCAATATACAGTAAATAAATCAATAAATCCACTGCCTCCTCTGAGGCTGGGAATGTAAATAGTGTTCTGTGCTCATCAGTGCAGCCAAAGGCAGAACAATTAGCATGTTTTGCTCAAACTTTCGCCATGGCATTAGAACTGGTACACCGTTGTCGCTTGCGAAATCAAATGACGGCGCTGTGGGTGGAAATGTACAGATTAAGGGGCGGTAATGTTATGAGATCCCTTTGCAACGTCACTAGGGGAGCGAAATCAGATGCACTCGTTTTTTTCAGACGCTTGCAGAAAAAGGCTTCCCAAAACAAAGTTACTTGTTTGATCTTTTTCACATTTCCTTGGTTGGTAGATGCACCGGGGACCTGATTATAGCACTTAAAACCTGGAAAAGTCAGATTTTCATGATATGTCACCTTTAAATTTTCCAGTGGTGTCTGTTTTGCAGCTGCTGTCATTCCACATTGACTCTATAAATGTGATGGTGTTGAATCTGGCCCTGCCTGAGTCCCTCTGGCACATGACGTCCTCTGCCATCACTTTGTAGGCCTACTAGACTAAGTATTCATTCACACACAAGTTTACGTTAAAAACACACGAGTTACAAAAACAGTCGGTTATGTCTGTGAAGGTACACAGCTGGGAAATAAATTGCATGTTTATTTTAGATCTGTGTGGCAGCAGCAATATACAGTAAATAAATCAATAAATCCACTGCCTCCTCTGAGGCTGGGAATGTAAATAGTGTTCTGTGCTCATCAGTGCAGCCAAAGGTAAAACCTGGAAAAGTCAGATTTTCATGATATGTCACCTTTAAAGTAATAGTTCACCCAAAAATTTAAATGTATTCACCCACAGGCCATTCAAGATTCTCCAATGGAACAGATTTGGAGAAATTTAGCATTACATCACTAGGTCAATACAGTCAATAGGTGCCATTAGAATGAGAGTTCAAAAAGCTGATAAAAACGTCACAGTAATCCACTAATCCATGTGACTCCAGTCTATCAAGTAACGTCTTTGGAAGCAAAAAGCTGCATGTTTGTAACAAATTAATCAATACTTTTTTTAACTTCAAACTGTTGCTTCCCGCTAAAATAAGAGTCCTCTATCCATAATATTGCTTTCTCCACTGGAAAAGTCATCTAATTTGAATTAGGAGAGAAATATGGACAGATCAAGCTCTTTTTATAAGTGAAAAAAAAAATTCAAAACAAATTCTCGGTGGATTGCCTGAGAGTGAGTACATTTTCGTTTTGGGTGAAATATTCCTTTAAATTCTAAAGCATATTAGTGTAAACATATAAGCTTTACTTATATACATACACCTTTTCTTTATTTTTTGTCATATTGCACATGAACTAATGGTGCAGCTGTTTAAATTGTCTGCCTAGCTCTATAATATTCCAGACTGGAAAAACTGAAATTCATATTTTTGAATAATGTGATTTTATTGAATTCTATATCACACAGACATTCATTTCAAGTACTTGATATACCTCTGAAGATACAATATAGCATCAGATGTTTTGTTACCTTTAGAAGAAGGATTCCACAGTCACTTTTAAATAACACAAGTAGTGTACAATGTTGTGCTTGACCGAAATATCAAAGTGCCTTTCTTTTTTTCCATGTGAATTGTCAATGCTTTTATTGTTGTATTTTCATAACAATGGACATAACTCAGGATGTTACATAAGTCTCTGTGCTTCTGGAAGTTTGATATCAGTCATCATGAACTGCTTCATTATATTGATGCTCTTAAGTCAAATGATTTGTAATGTAACTAAACTGCAGCATTTATTAACCTATTATCCTTTATTAACCAGTACATATAAGTACTGAAGACATGTACTTATTTAGTCTGCACCAAGTGGGATTATAAAATGGCACTTTGGTCTATTGCCTTTTGCTCTGACTCTTAAACAAATATAAACCGAGACTAATGACCTTACTGGAACTCTTCATGTTTACAGATTTCCTTAAATGTGAATTTCTGAAACCATGTATATAATTTAGTTCAGTTTATTGCATTATTTCTGTCAGACAGTGTGTCTAAAGACAGTCGAAAATGACTGTTATTTAATTATTATTATTTAATTGTGCTCTCCTCATTTGTTATCGAACTATGACTATTCTGTTATTTTTTGTTTTTGTTTTTCAATTGAATGTAAATTAACATAATGATAAACAAGATATACACAGACATATTAATACACAATGTGCAACTCAAATAAACTTGGCAGCAAAACAACTGCAATGTGAAATTCTTTCCCCAACTGATTTTTGAAATCTGGGTTCTTCAGTATTATCTGCAAAATCCAATTGGTTGGCTATGTTAAGCCCTCCATCCCTTGCTTATTCTTAATATATTTAAATCTAATAAAATTCTTATTATATACGTATATATGATATATATTATATTAGGAAAATTCTTATTATATCCCATTATTTTGGCAGTCAATTAAATTGTAAGATAAAATCAATAAGAGGATATATTATTAATAGTAACAATAAGAATGTCACTAAGAAATAATTTAAAACCACAGTTTTGTAGTCTGGTTTTAAAACTTGAATGTTCAATCTCCAGGGGGAACCGAGACGTTCCTTAGATGACGATCTCTCCTTATCACTGTTGAATAAGGGCCATTATCCTATGTTTTTCTAGGGGGGCTATCTGTGCAACTGGTCTTGCATTTTTATTGTATTCATTCTGTGCACATTACCTAGCAAATCACACTTAAAACAAGCTCCTGTAATGAGACTGACACAAAGAAACGACGACTTTATACGCCAGTTCTGTCATATAATCTTAAGAATATCATTTAGGCGATAATTGCACGCCCTCTGCTGGTAGAAATACACTATAACAGTTTTTTTTTACAACGTCACACTACCCAGTACTATCCAAAGCGCTACTGTGAAACATTATATGGTGACAACTACCACTTCAGAATGTATAGGCAAATAGTAAATTACAATGAAAGACACTTTCTCACACATGCCAAATGGTGGGAAAGGCCCAAATTGTTCCTACATCTCTTGCATCCAAGCACCCATCTAAGAACTTCTCAAGCTAACACATCAAATGTATTGTGGCATGTTTATATTTGAGTAGCACTAAATAAATATATTACTAAAGGTACAGAAAGTTTTGTGCACACAGCTGCAATCTTTAATCCTGCCTGCAAATTCCTGTTATAATTATCTTGATTTTTAATTTTTGTCATGAAAACATGTGGGACAAATTACTCCTCAACTGTTTCATCACGTAAGCGGTAATGATTGTTAGAAAGGATAAAAATATGTTTTACTGTTACACTGATCTATTTAAGTCAAAGTTATTCATGCTTTTTTCAAATTTTTCAGTTACTATGATTGACATGTATGGCAGCATTGTCAAAGGAATAATTCAAATTCAACAAAAGCTTTTGACAAAACATTTAATTACAAATAAATTCATTCAAGTACACTTACATATATTTTTAAATAGTCTGTGATTCTTTTTTTTTTTTTTTAAAGTGCACTTTCCTAGGGAAAATGTCCCATTTGTCCAACAGGATCTGAGTGTGTTTTTCAGCTGAATTTTATCATTACAATTATCAGAGGTGTAAAAAGTACTCACGTGAAAGTACAGATACTCAGTGAAAATTTTACTCAAGTGAAAGTATAAGTATCTGGCCAAAAACATACTTGAGTAAAAGTAAAAAAAGTACAACTTATAATTGTACTCAAGTATTAAAAAAGTAGAAGTACTTTTTTTCTGACAGACATACCAGAAGTTTGGTAAAAGGGAGAAAACTAAACAAAATGCAATGGCACAGGTCAAACACATATATCTAGTGCAACAATAACAATTAAAATGCAGCACAGCAGAACACACACACACACAAAATACAGGTAAAGGGATTAAAAGGAAACTTCATCCTTTCCACCCTCATGCCATCCCACATATGCAATGCAAATTGCAAATCCAGACTGCAGTAATTTTGCAAATCACAACCTACGCACGCTCTACATAGGTCACACATAACACGACCAAATCATTCGACCGTTATTCGCAACGATAAGAATTATGATAACGTTGTGAATTGCTTTGCATTCCCAGCACTGTGTGAAAGGACATGGACTGGATCTCGCGATAAGTCCAACCTGCCATCTTGCCACGTTCCAGCGCCTGAGCGCTGGTAGAAAACAACAGGAAAGAACTGGGCGGTCTTACCTCGAAGGTATCCACACGATTGAATAAGTCATCGGCCACTGCTCAGCGATTGGATGACATTTTCATTTGTCCCGCCCACAATGGCTTTGTCTGGACAGTATTGGTCGAATGTTCAGTCACTCAAAAGGGGGACGGGCTGCTATGGGCCTCGGTGTATGAAAGCATAGGGATTTGATTTTTGCAGGGCATCAGTACCAGAACTGAGACTGGAATTAGTCAATTCATTTGTTAAAGAACAAGAAACGTCGAAGAACTTTCACTTGCAATGGCTAAGAAAAATGCAAAGGGACCAGTCAAAAAAGGTGTGTATGTTTTGTCGTTAAAAATACGTGCATTTCTGCGAAGGCCTGAAAGTTGATCGGACGGCAAGATGGATTTTTGTTTATCTAATTACAAAAAACGCCATGTTAAGAAATAATAAACAAGTAAAATAATAAGAATGACCCCCAATGCATTGTGTCGGCTACAGTCGTGATATGCAAACTGCGCTAGTTGTGTTACACTGTAACCACAAACAGTTTTTGAATCGTTGCTACATTCTGAGCGAGTAAGAACTTTTTTGTCCAAAACAGGGGTGTATTAAACCCCCCTGAACGTGTCTATACACTTGGAAAATTGGACGAAATGGTTGCAGAACTTCTGCATGCTTTTAATCGTAATTTACTTGCACGAGCGCCACAAGGCCTAGTTTATCGTACTGTTTGTTAATTCCAACAGCAGCAAATGACCTACATTTTCAGATAAATGTTTGCACATCGCTGGAGCCAGAGACTGGGCATTTAAGAGCTCGCACTGGGGCAACTCTTGCCCCAGTGCGAGCTCTTAAATGCCCACGTGTCAATATTGGGAGAGCGTGGGAGGGGTTACACGTGTCCTCTAGGGTCCCATGTCCCCACACACTCTGTAATTAAAAATAAATTGTGCCACACTGCAGGACCCCACTGCTGGTTAACAACGTCCTGGCGTTGGGTTTAGCTATCTAGCTATTATTATTGACTTTAGTGAGTGCGTGGTCATTATGTAAGAGTGGTAGATTAACTATTGGACTGTTGAAAGTATATGAACCCTTACAGTGAAATGTTAGACACGGGTATAGATTTATCATATGTGCTGCTGACTTTTAACTGTAAAAAGGTTAATATTAACGTAAAAACGGCGTAAAATGTTACTGTAAAAACCGTTAAATTGGTAAACTGTAAGTTACATCACCATATACGATTAAAACATGTATTTACATGCAGTTAGACTGTAGAACTGTTTTCAGTTATATTATTTTTATTTTGTGTGTTACCCTGTTTGTCAGGGCAACTGTGCGCTTTCTATATATGTTTGTTAGCTACTGTTCATGGTAAAGCCTGTTTTGTTCATGGAAAAGCTTAATTCATCATGTGGCCTCCTTATTTTAAAACCTGAATTATTATGGTGGTTATCTCTATATTTTGAGCCAATAAAGCAGACCAAGCAGATTTGAATAAATGCAGTTATGAACTGTATACCTGAATACAGGAATCAAATGCCATCACATTTCTATGTTGTTGGTGTCTGTGAGGTGCCACTTGAACCACCATTTCTTATTTGCCATAAGCATTCCAATTCTCTCCAATAAACGTTACATTTTATTGTGTTTATCCATTATGGAAAACTTTTCCTGTAATGATAATAATCTAGAGCCACACGCATTTAAATATCTACTGAAGGTTAACAGTTACAAAACCACTATCCTTAGATTGATGCATTTATAATGCATTGCTTTGTAAAGTGAACTCAGCTGTTCATAAAGTGGTGCAATGCCCTCTTTTATCAAATGTCAAAATCATTGCTTTCAGGGAAAATTTCAGCTGCACAGAATAACTTGCTGAGTGCCACAGAAATGGTAAAGAAATGACAGCCTGTCATGACGTGCTTGCATTTTGTTTTTGTTTTTTTTCTCAAGCATTTCTCCATTGATTCCACTGTTCTGTTCAAATAACCTCGCATGTTTGTTTTTCCAAGGGCATTTAATCCAATGCAATTCTCTGACATATGTGGCTGTGTATAATATATTTTATTTTGACTTTGGTAAATGCAGTGTGCATCTCACAATATTAAATGTACTCTTTCATGCATAGAGTGAAGAATGCATTTGCGTGTGTTTAACAAGCAACACTATTGGCATTCATAAGAAAATCTGGACTAAATAATGTTTACATATGCAACATTTGAACTCCTGTTGTGACATCAGAAAACCCACTGGACTTTTAAACCAGTGTATGATCTATTGTTCTACAGCAGTGTTAGCTTGCTGGTCATTCAAGATTCCAGTCGGGGGTGTATATGCTGATAAGATTACATAAGGGGTTAATGTCCAGGGTTTGTTCCTCTGACCAGACAGGAACTGCTTGCTTTACACAGTGGGGTGTGTAGGTACGACTGAAGAAGAGAGGGTAATTCAAGGCACACATTCCACTACAATGTTATGCAAGCTAGACGATGAACATTGTGTACCACAAAGGCATAGTCAAAGCAACGACAAAAGCAGTGCATGAGTTACAAAAAGAGTTTAAGCACTGTTTTTCATAGCAGGTATAAATGGGGGAGGGGAAGACGTTGATTAGGTCACAATGGCAGCCATATGACTATGTGTAGATTTAGAGACGAGTTAAGCATGTGTGTCTAGAGGGTGTGCCTTTTGTCCAAACTTTGCATGCAGCTTTGATATAGATAAAAGATTCAAATCCACATCAATGCAGTTTTAAATATTAAAAGTCAAAGATTTGGGGCTTTGGTTTGCATTAAATGTATGTATATATGTATATGTAAGAAATTAATACTTTTTTTTTTTTAGCAAATATGCTGATCAAAGTATTAATCAACATAACTGTTTTCATAATTGACAATATAAGAAATGTTTCCTGAGCACCAAATCAGCATATTTAGCGGAGTAAAAAAACTGAGCTTTTCCATCACAGGAATACATTTATTTTTAAAAATATATTAAAACAGAAACCAGTTATTTTAAACCGTAATGATATTTCACAATATAACTGTTTTGACTATATTTTGATCAAATAAATGCAGCACAAGAGATATGAGAGATCTTTTGAGTAAGTGAAGTCTTGATGAGGATAGAGGGTTACGTAAGTACATCATGGTCGTTTTACTTTGCTGATAATGTTAGTCTGATGCAGGTTTTTCTGTTTTAGCTATATGGCTAGTTTGCAGAAGCCACCACTAACATGTTTATTATTTCATCAAGAAACTCGGGAGACCGGTCCTTTTATGGAAAATAAATAGCTCTGTGGCAGGAGAGTCACTTGCCAGGATTTAAATGCTCCTCTGCCTGGAGGCTGGAAAACGCCTTCCAAAGTTTGATTTGCATGTCATTTAAAATGCATGTATGTAGTGAAGCAGTGTATCCTCCATTGTGTGCTACTCTTTTGTTAAGTATAGTAATTTGGAAGGCCATTCAGCCTTTTCAGCTTTCATATGTGACTAAGAACAGCAGGATGGAGTGGGGTTTGCCTCTACCCTTTCGTATGGGTGCTTGAGATTTTCTGGCTTTCAAGCGGACAGTTCTAAAAATAATCCATTTGCTGGTCGAGTTCCATATTAAGTTCGGGCTCAATTCACAAGGAACAAAAAGGCAGGAGACCTGCTGTTGTTACAGGGGTTTGGGGTAGGATTGGGGTGAAACACGCTCTCTTCTTCCCCACGTTGCTTGGAGGAATGGGGGAGCCGAATGCAGAGGTCAAGGTGGTGAACGAAGAAACCGGTATAGTATTTTTGATTTGGAATAACGTTTTATGACGAGAGATGACATTTAAAAAATCATGGGGTGTGAGAGAAAGCCTTAACATTTGAAAATGAATGTAATCTTATTTAATACTTTATTTTTATGGTAAATTTGTGTTTTGTGTATATGAGCAGCAAAAATGTAATGTTTTACTTAAAAATGTATTGTTATAAAGTTTTATTGTGCAGTCAGTTTATATATGCACCTATGCAAACTACAAAAAGAGAATTTATTTTGTCGTAACACTTTAGTGATGTATTTGCTCTCTGTATATCCGTTACTAACGTTTGTAGCATGCGTGTGCGCATGAACAAATGTGTGGTTTGACCTAGCAGAACGTAGCAGACAAAACACCTGTTCATTCTTCCTACTAGAGCTCTGAATGCAGATGTATTTATATCGCAGTTCCATGAGGAGTGTCAACAGGCCTCAGAATAACTGCACTTTTTTAGACTTTTGTTGCCTTGTGATTAACTATAGATGTGATTTCATGTGGAATATTTAAACATCTTACAGGGAATCTTTCATCAGATCTTATAGAGCATTTGAAAATAGAAAGAACTGATTGGTCTCCAGTATTTTTTCAGCTTCAAAGCTAATGTTACATAGTCTATTAACTAGTGGCCTTGAATGAATACTTGTGTGTGCCGTAATACTAAAGGACTAATCTCACTTTCAAAGTCATGGTTTAATTTTGAGCATGCATTCTTCGTTCACATGAGGGTTTTGCTGTGCTGCATTGATTTGATTTTGTTAAATGAAAATGTTTTATATTCATAAACATCTTTTTGTATTTCTTCCTGATATTGTATAGTCTTATTCTTTTATACTTCAGAGGCCAAGCCACAGCAGGCACATAAAAATGGAAAGAAGGCAGAGGTTGGAGGAGGAACCTCGTTTTTCACCTGGTTCATGGTTTTGGCTCTCTTGGGCGTCTGGACCTCTGTAGCTGTGGTGTATTTTGACCTTGTTGACTATCAAGGTGTAATTGGTGAGTCTTTGGTTTCTATTATTCAGAGTTTTTTTTATAAATGGTTGTAGTTTTAAAAATACTTTTTACATAAATGTTATATGTAATTTTTTTTTGTATATCTGGCCTTAATTTGCATGCAGCCAAAGCAAAGGACTTGCGCTATAATCTTTCAGAGGTATTACAAGGTATGAAATCTGAACCAGTGAATAGAATCACTACCATAAACCTCATTTCTTTGAACCTCTCATCTTCAGTTACAAAGTAAGAAGTGAATTTGATTGTTAGTTCTGTTTTAGTGTAATTTTTCATACTTTAATATAAACGCACACTACATTTTATATAAATTTACTCTATAAGTTTGGGGTCAGTGAGATTTTGTTTTGAAAGAAATTAATTTTATTCAGCAAAGATGCATTAACTTGATCAAAAGACATTTATAGATTTCTGAAGGATCATGTGACACTGAAGACTGGAGTAATGATGCTAAAAATTCTGCTTTGCTATTGCAGGAATAAATTACATTAAAATAGAAACTAGTCATTTTACATTGTAATAATAATAGTTCACAATTGTACTGTTTTTACTGTATTTATTTAAATGCAGCCTCTCAGTGTCTTGTGCATAAGACACTTCTTTCAAAAACTTTAAAACACTGACACCAAAACTTTTGGACTGTAGTGTATTTTCTAATCATTTGAATTTGATAAAATGTTAATCTAATGATGTTTGTTAATGACTTCTTGAGGAAAGTTGTTATAACGTGTTACCATGCAGGTTTACTTGCTACAGAACTATATCAAATAGTACAAGGTTTCTTTAAGACATGTCCTTAATCTTATTTGAAATAAAACAAATACGAGCAATTTCACAGCGCTATTTGTAGGACCTTTAGTTTCAAATATGGCACAATGAATTATTCACAACCCATGTCAAATGACTAAATGAGATTCACTTTACTTTACTAGGTAAACTCGTGTCCTATGATGCTGATGGTGATGGAGACTTTGATGTGGAAGATGCTAAAGTACTACTAGGCAAGTGAAGTGATTTCCAATGAAATTTTCTACCAGATGATATTTTGCATGACTGACTTTGGTTCACTTTTGTGCAGTTTTGAATTAAATGAGACCGATGCACGTGCATGGTACTTTCATCATTTTGTTCAAACAACATACCATTTTGGAGAAGAAGTGATGAGAGGTTATTGCCTTATTGCATGAGTTTGTAAATTAGACCAACTTGCCAGTATTACATTTAAGGCAAAGTCATGTGGTAAGGAGAGAAAATAAAGAGATTTATTTTCTCATTTAGCATGTAGTTTAACTGATTTCACAACAAACAGCCACATTAGTCCTTCCCATGCATGCCCCATTTCTCCTTTACTTCATCTTACGCTTTTAATAGCATCTTTACCCTCTTTTTTTTATAGCACTGAATCCTTATCTACTAAACCTTGCAAACCAACACCACCCTCTCTCTATTTTCTTGCTCTCCCACTGTTCTTTCTTTCCCTCTCTTTCTCTTTTTCCTTATTCTCCCGTTTGCGTAGGGCTGACCAAAGATGGCAGCAAAGAAAACTCAGACTCCCTTGAGGAAGTCCTCGATATTTTAGCGGAAGAGGGCACTGATTGGTTTCAAGGTTTCTTCACCTTCCTTTATGACATTATGAGTCCTTTTGAAACGCTAGAGGATGAAGAAACCGAGGCAGCAGCGGAGGATGTTGCTGGCGCGTCACAGACTGAAGGGGTTCAGGGCCAAAAGACATGCGTTATTTTAGGCCTTCAAAATCAATAGTCGTGTTTTCTACCGCATTTGTGACAGAAGCACTTTATTAGAGGAGGACTTGCTCCTTTGACGACTTGATTCTGTTCCTAACACTTGAAGAAATATTTTGTTTGGAAGATCGCCAACAGTCACTTTGGGACCTGTGAACTCTTGAGAAGATGATGTCATTATGAACATTTACATATTTGTAAATATTGAACTTGTGTAGTTTATGCTTCATTGCAGCTCTTTTGCAACGGCTGTTTCCAGCTACTAATACTCTATTTACCTTTTTGCATATGACCTTAGTGTGCTGTAAGTTGAACATATCACCTTTGCTGAATGCCTCAGTTCCCTTATATCATGAACAACAGTATGTATTTCTATTTGAGTCTTGCAATTTAACACTGTACATGTGACATCTTGTTTATAATCTGATTATCATTATCATTTCTCTCTGTCTTTAGGATCTGAATAGTTTATTTTGAGCCGTTTAATATCATTACAATAATTGCATTTTGGGGTGATTTGCATCCTCAGCAACTCAGCGGAGATAGATCTTTTTGTGTTTTATATTTCCTTTAAACTTTTTTTTTTTTTTTTACTGCTCAATACAGAATAGGCAGTTTTATATGACATTGTCAGTTGTTACGTTGTTTTTGTTTCTTCTTTGTCATGTGAGTTGCCTTTGCTCTCCTCCATCAGAGATTTAGAGAATAATGATAGCTTAGATCTACAGTATGAATATATCCCACCCCTCTTGCAGTATTACCTCAATTAACAAAATTCAGGTAGGAAATTTGTACTATGGTGTAAATGGATGTGTAGCTGATTTAAAGGGATAGTTCACTCAAAAATGAAAATTGTCATTAATTACTCACCCTCATGTCGTTCCAAACCCTAAGACCTTTGTTCATCTTCGGAATACAAATTAAGATATTTTCGCAAAGAAAACAAAAATAAAGACTTTATTCAACAATTCTTCTCCACCTTATCCCGTCTGCAGCAGCGTGCCACCATTGTAAAGTCATAATTTTTGTTAAGATTTTGTTAATTTTTGTAAAGTTCATATTTTTGTAGCTTCGTAAAATTACGGTTGAACCACTGATGTCACATGGACTATTTTACAGTTGTCCTTGCTACGTTTCTGGACCTGGGAACATTGCAGTTGTGCTGCTGTCTACGGAGGGACAGAGAGCTCTCGGATTTCATTAAAAAATATTAATTTGTGTTCCGAAGATGAACAAAGGTCTTACGGGTTTGGAATGACATGAGGGTGAGTAATTAATGACAGAATTTTCATTTTTGGGTGAACTATCCCTTTAATAAATGGGTGTCAATTCAGGAACTTCATCAGTTCATCAGCCAAGAATTAGTTCAATGGCGTGTGTAGGAAACGTCTCCTGAACCCCAGAGTTCTGTAACCGTCAACAATCAGTTCCTACCTGCCAATCTAAAGCACCTGAAACGGTGTGCCTGATAAGTAATAGTGTTTATATGGCTCCTGTAATACTAGGAGGGAATTGAGAGGGCTATGAATGTGAATGTTAACTATTTTGCATAAATATTTTAAAAATTATGCAGGAATTAATTACAAAATGGCTGCTTTTGTGTCTGGAAGTGTATTTGGAGAAAATTAAGTGTGTAGAATTAGGAATTTAGCTTAGATTGAAAAAAAAAATCCTTCATTATCACTTTAATACCACTTATATCACAATTATACCTTCAAATATTTCAAGTACAGTTTAAGTGTTTAATTTGGTAAATTAACAATTAAGATCTTTTGGTTTAATTATTTAGCAATTGTTGCCATATGTTTAAGTTATTGGTGTCGTTTGACTTTTTTTGTTGTTAATAAGATTGCTTATCCTCATATGTTGTACAAAAAAACACTGCTTGCAGATAGTGATTTTGTAGAGAGATTTTCATTTTTACAGAGATTTTCTGTCAGAATGATTTGAAATTCTTGGACATCAAGCATTATGTGTTTTACAGAGCATTGCGTATGACGACTCAATCAATAGAATCAGACCAGACATGAGTGAATGGGCTGTATACTCTCTGACATCATTAGTGTCAAAGAAATGTATGAAGAAGACCTCAAAGGCAGGACTTAGGCCTACATTGTACAACTGTTTTAAGTAGCAGTCACTGACTTTATTTGTCTGTCTCATTTAAATTAGATGAAAAGAAAGAGGTTTCCAGGAGAAAAGGAGGTATTTTGCACACTTGGTCTGAGTGCATGCAGCAGACTAGCCTCTAGTGTGGTTTGGAATTAGAATTAGACGCCTTCCATGGCATCTTGGAAGGTGTTTACTTGATCAACTTGTTTCTGTTTGCATGACTGAGCTGACATGAGATATTTTAAGCTACATATTATTTTTGTGTTTAACCAAGGAGTGTTTAACAATACCACCTTTTTAGTTGGCATTTATGAGTTTGCATGGACAATGATGACTTGACAAGGAGCTACATGCACATGTAAGCCTTGTGTATACTTTTTCCAGGCTATTTTCAAATAATATTAGGGAACTGTGGACTTGTTATAAACATCCTAAATACATAATCTTCTAATATAATGTGTACAGTAGTGATTCTCAACCTGGGAGCCAGGGCTGTCTAGGGAGCCATTCCAAACTTCCTAGGGAGCCACAGGATGATTTGAATTATTTAAATTAGTTTTTTTCTTCGTTTTTTCCATAAGCCAAGAATTCATTGAAGCATACAGTACAATCACATGCATTTTGGTCAATTAATTTAATATATCAAGACTTACAGTTTCTGTTAAATTTTTTTTAACAGAAAAATTTGCAGCTTTGTCATAATTACAGCAGAAATACTTGAAATATTTAACCTATATGGTGGGCCTTCGAATATTCTGTAGGACAGCTGGGGGCCGTCAAGTTAAGTAAGTTGAGAACCACTGGTGTGGAGGATATCACAAACATACTAATGAGGGAGTTTTGATGTGAAATGATTTGCATCATTACAACTAATTGCGTTGTGGCTTGAGGTGTGTGTAGTGATAAGATTTAGTTACCATGATTACATCATCAAACAAAGTTTCTCCCCAGAGCTTTCCCACACCAAAGATGTTGGGTTGAAGCTAAGGGAAGCTCTGAAACAGCAGCTCACCATCATCCACGAGAGAGTGGAGGCTAGGAAGATAGCTAAATTGGCTCTGGCGGAAGTGAGGAACATCCTAGCCAAAGAGGAGGAAGAGAGGACCTTGAACCATATCAGGGAGGAGTCGGAAGCCAAGGCCTGGGAGAGAGCTGAGGCTCGACTAAAAGAGGAGGGGGAGAGAATAGAGAAGGAGGATGTGGAAAAGGCCATGGCAAGAATTAGAAAGGAGAAGGAGGAAAGAGAGAAAATGGCAGAAGTTGAAGAAGCAAAGAAGATTAAGAAGGTGGAAAAGGATGAGGTGAAGGAAAAGCCAGAGGCTGAAAAGAAATCTCATGAGAAACCCGTTGTTGATGACGATGCTAAAAAAGTTGAGAAAAATGGAAAAGGCAAAGAATCCAAGAAGGCTGCAGCTAAAAAGAAACCGTAAGGCAGCAAATCGGCTACTGTTAGATCTTTTTGTCTTTTGTGTAATTTGTTAACATCTGGCTGAATTTGATCTCAGGCCATTGTGAGTCTCCAGAGACCACCCCTTATAGACCGAAGGCAAGACCTTTTGTCTCTATATATGAGAGATAATCAGTGATGTTAATCAGAACATTGAGATTAGTAGAAGCAAAAGCAGAACAAGGTGCTATATGCCGATTGTCATGTGGAAGTTCTTTTATTTCTCTTAAAATGTCTGTTTCGTTTGAGGGTAGGATTTTGGTTTACTCTTACAAAATACTAGCTATAGTGTGAGATTTCAACATTGATGTTCCTCTGATTTTGTTTATTTTATAATAAATACAACAGGTAGCTATACTTTACTAAGAAAGAACGTTCTTGTGTTATCAATAAACTATATGAATCACCTGATTTGTTTTATCAGTGCCTTGAGTGTTTTTCTTTTCAGTGTTGATTAATACAAGAAAAACAAGCAGTTGTATTAAAACTGGACAAGAATACATGTCTGTTCACTAATAATATCTATAAACTTTTCCTTTTACCTCTTCTCTGTTTTCCTGTTGATCTGTTTCAAATCTCAAACACATACCTTTGTGCCTGTAAAACAAAGGACAGAAAAAGCTCTAGTGCAAAAGTAAACCAAATGTCATAAGGTTATGGAAATTCTTTTGAAAGTGTAGTGCTCTTCATATAGAGGGCTTGTTTCATGTGACTGTATTCTACGCTTGCCTCATGTATGCACATCCACATGTAAAATCCTCAGGGCTGAAAGATAAATCCACCATTGAGACCAGTGAATCATTTGAGGGAACCCTTGCTGAACCTGTGGAAGAAGGTAAAGTAGAATGCTACACAGGAGCTTTATGCAATAAATAAGGGTGCAGTGAGAACTGTTGATGCATAGAAATATCTTTGTAGGTCAATAAAATAAGATGCAGGGTTTTATAACACAAATAGACATTTAATGTGATATGCAAGTTAGGAAAGTAAATGAACAAGTTATTGCCATTGTTACAAGATGAAATTGCCTGACCC